TCCAAAGAGGCTGCAAAGGCAATTCCTGATAAAAAAGCAATGTTTTTGTGTCTGAATCCACCCAGCTTTTTCCCTTTGAGTGCTCCAGCCGGGCTGGGCAAACGCAGCCGAGGGCAGGCACCGACCCTGCTTCCAAACCCTTGAACAGGCACAAACTCACGGGCTCCATCTGACTGCAGCTGGGAGCATCAATTACCCTTTGAGCTCAAGAGGAGAGGGTGTCGAGTCCAAATTTGCAGGAATAATTGATGATTTGGGGGTGCTTTCATTTTTTTCCTGCCCACCTTAACATAACCAGCTCCCAGAGGTCGGTACCCTCAGACTCATCTCCAGAGCAGCCCCTCTTGACAAATCTCACGTCGCTCCCCAAAGATCAGTCACACCGCCAAGGTCAGAGCCAGGGCCGGAGGCAGTGACCAGCTCTCCATCTCCTCTCTCCTCGCAGAGTTCTCCATCAGCAGCTTCTGCACCGTGGTGGACGTCATGAACTACTCCAGGCTCCAGGTCCTGCGGCTCGATGGGAACGAGATCAAGCGAAACGCCGTGCCGCCCGACGCCCCGCTGTGCCTGCGGCGTGCCACCATCATCGAGATCTAGCCCGGCCCCCTCCTCATCCTCAGGACTTGGCTTCCCCGTTCCTGGGGAGACACTCACTCCCATTTTATGCAGCTTGACAGTTTGACTTGGCTTCCACAATAGTGCAATAAGGGTACTCCAACACCAGCCCACGCGGGTGGGCAGGAGCCATTCTTCCCCAAACGCTCCCTCTTCCCAACTCTCCGGCTACGCAGGATGGGACCAGTCCCAGCACCGTTTCCCCTCTGACCCCACCACAGCCACCCCCCAAAGTGCTGCACCCCCATTCACCTTCTCCCCTGGTTTGGGTGGGATGCAGCGGGGATGGGGGAGAGCTCATCCCACCTCCAAAACACGGCACTGAGCATCTGACCCCAGCGGGGAAGGGTTCGGGTCCTGCAGAACCAGCAGATCTAAAGCCACCCACCCTGGGCCGGGTGTCTGCGGTCACTGGGAGCAGCATCCAGGAGGTTGGGAGCTGCATGATTAAAGGGTTAAAGATATCCTGGCTGCCAGCATCCCTCCTTCTAGGATGGCGAAGAGCAAATCCACTTTCAGCTCCATTTTTCCCCGCTTCCATCAGCCTCCTGCTCCAGAGAAAAGGAGAGAAACCTTTCCTGCTGCTGCCGAGCGGCTGTCAGCTGCTGAGGTTAGAGAGAAAGACCCGGAGAAACAGCCTGTCCACGGGCCGTGGCCAAGGGGGTCTCACATCTTCCTCCCAGACCACTGGTTCAGGGCAGGACCGGGATCGAGGGATGGGGCAATTCCCAGTGCTGTTGCCCCCGGCTGCCTGGGGAGCCCCCGCACGCCCGACTCCCTCCCACCCACCAGCTTGGCTCCGAGCTCCCTCCCTGCCCAGGTAACCAGGGTCTCCCAATTAAAAAAAAAAAGAAAAATTATCAGAGTGAGATGTGACTCCACAGCACGTTCAAATTCGCCAAAACCACCCAACTTGGTTCCTTGGACGGTTTAGTTTGAGAACCAAAGGGGTAGCTGAGCTTTGGAGATGACCTGCAAAGCTGAAGAGGTCACCCAGACCCTCCGCATTTAAACTGCATGCTAACACTATAGAAACAAAAACCCAAAAAAACCTGTACTATCACCGACGCATGAACTGTAGATATCATACCGATGAATAAAGCCCTTTCTGTAACTGCATGAAACGTGTCTGAGGAATCCCAAATGCAGAGGCCAGGGGCTGAGCACCATAACCTCCCCTCTCGCAGGCATAACCCGGGCTGGATTTGCCGTCTAGCGGTTGTACCACACACGGCACGGGCGTACGTCGCCTTCCTCCCACTCGGGAGCTGCTGCTCCAGCTCATCCCAGATGGGGTCCATGCAAGGACATTTATAGAAGGGAAAAAAAAAAAACAAAACACATGGAAAAGTGTCAGCTGAGAGAGGGAAGGGATGGCGGTGCTACCGGCACAGTATTTCTGGTCGTTATTTTCTGGATGCTTTCATGTTCTCCAGTCTCCAGCCCTGCTTATTTTTAACGGCTAAGCTGGAGGATGCTTAAAAAAAATTAAAAAAAAATTAAATGTGCAGGGTTTTTACAGCTCTGGAGCTGTACAGAAAGTGCCATTTCCCAGCCTGCCGGCCTCTCCTCCGCACACCGGGGGCTTGCTTGGCTCTGGG